GGCGAAGGCGGTGGACCGCATCCAGGCCGGGGAACGGGACAAAGAAGAGCGAGTGCGGGAGGTGAGGAGGCTGGGGCCCCGGTTCGAGCCCCGGCTGCCGTCTTGTCTGCCTCATCTCGATCTATCTTCCCTCGCCAGAAAGATTTCTGAAAAGGCCAGCGTTTTCCTCATCCCACAGATAGGGTACTTTCTTCCTCTAACATCTACCCCTCGGTATTAATAGAAGACCTACGTTGCTTTTCTCCCCTTGAAACTTTATTATTATCACGACTTCTTTCAAACAGAAGCACTTCTTCCCTGGCAAGGCAAGGATTAAAGAAATAGAGTAATTTTTCTTTTATTTCTGCTCCTCTAGGCCCGTGTGGAAAACATCAAGCTGAAGCATGAAATCCAAAACCTTGAAACCATCTTGAAAGCTCAGGGAGAACAGGTAGAGGGTCAACACTTTATGGACTTTGAGCGCATGAAGAAAGAGAATCAGAAACACAGTGAAAAGATCGACGACCTCAGTGACGAAATCCTGAAGCTCCAAAAGAAGGTATCGAACACAGTACATATTCTCAGCCAGTTCAGGGAAAAACTACAGTTTGTGGAAGCTGAAAATGAAGGCAGAAGGGCTGAACTGCTGGACATTGAGACTGTCTTGTCACAGAAGAGAGACATTCTGACCAAAACCAAACAGGCCAGAGACAGACTGCGGAGAAACAACTTGAAATTGCAGCAGAAACGTGGGTTGCTTGGAAATGAGACGCTGCTTCGGGACTTTGAGGAAAAGGTGGATACTGTAGAGCTGCTGACTCAGCGATTGGAAACTCTGAAATGTCACCATGCTGGTCTGATCCTTACTTGTAGGGGAATTCAGAAAAAAATCAAGGAAGCCAATTCCTCTCTCTCTGCTGAGGTTGACTAAAGAAAAGACGGCATGGAAAAGAAATAAACAAAGGAGTTTTCCGTAATTCTAATGGTTAACATGCCTTTTTTTTTGTATGTCCTGGGGAATACGTTACACACGTACTCCTGAAAAAGCCTTTTCTAAGTGACGTGTCAGCATTATGCATTCAATGAAGAGATTACAGTAGTTACTCATTTTGAATGAAACCATCTACATGTGCCTATCTTAAACAAACCAAAAAAGCCACAAAACAAACCACAGTCAAAAGCCTATGCTTCTAGAAAACCATCTGAGCATTCAGTCCTTTAAGGCCGTGGCAATACCATTTAAGCAGAGCACTTGCCATACCCTAACTCAAATCCTGTTCCTGCCATCCCCTGTATGGATTTTATAATTCAGTATCGACTTCATCTGTACAATAGCTATACCTGCCCTCTGGGCACAGCGTAAGGGGTAATCTTCATAGATGTGGCTGAGAACTGGAGAGAAGCTTCTTGTCAATAGCCGACGTGACTTGCCTACAGCCAATACCCTACAGAAGCACTGAATCACTCGCCTGTTCTGTATACATACTTTGCTGCCAAGTTTGCCTGGGTTGTGCACAAGAAGAAAGGTTTATTACTTCAAGAACTATTTTCATAGTGTAAATATATAGATAAATCTTATCACTCAAAACTAGAGTTTTTAATTTTTTTGGTCTTTCAGCTTTTACAGTTTTAGGGGGCTCTCAGCCTTGTCCTTATTCATGGTGCGTGAAGAGGTAGAGAGTAGCATAAGCCCATCACCATTTCAGTCCCCTCTGCACTGCTCAACTGTAGTGCATCAGAATTCCAGGAAAAAAAAGTCCGAAGGAAAGAGGAGAGAGCGACAAACATTTACACATTTGTGACTGTACAGCTCACAGAGCTTTAGTTACAGGAAGCAGCTTCCCCTTTCAAAATGGTATGTTCTTTAAACTCCAATTCCCCCATGGCAAACAGTGGCTATGAGACTGATCTGTATCCTGCAGCTGCTTTTGTAGCATTTTTTTCTTTAAGGCATGGGATGGTTGTCAAGAATATAGAAACATCTTAGGCCAGTAAAATGTTGGAGCTCTGACATACTACGTTCTCATTACTGAAGGAACTGCAACTTTGGCAGGCTCCTTATAGGAGCCTTATGTGCCCAATTATGGAATCAGTCCTACCCAGTTAATTTCTATGTGTGATACCACTACTTTGCTTAGACAGACCAGCAATCTTTAGTCCCATTTTTGGTAGTCAGAGGTGGGTATTAAAGGCCCAGACTTAAGTGTTCAAAGGCTGTGAATTTTGCAGGAAAGATGGCACAGCCCAGCAGGAAAGAGCAGGAATGGAGTCTTCTGGTTTTCCACCACAGGTTGGAATTGCACCCTGTGGGACCAGTATTGCTGAGCTGTATTTGAGCTGCTGGTTCTAGTTCCAAAATAAGTTGCGTATGCATTTAAACAAAGTACACAACTCACTGAATGCACTTATATGAGGATAAAAAGTAGATAAACTTACATAGTCATTTCTAGGAATGGCTTACACCATTCTCTTTTAAATCATCTCTGAACTAGCTTTTCCAAATTGCCTGGATATTTAAAAGACAAAACATAATTAAAGCGGTTATTACACTATCGAAGGTTTAAATCTTGTTCATTTGTCATAGTGAAATGAGAGAAGAGATCGACAATTCCTACTCTTACTGCAATCATGCAGCAGCAATTTAGGTATAGTCTTCTAGGGTCCCTACAGTTCTGCAGAACTGTTGCATAAACACAGTGCAACAGTGCAGGCTCTTGTTCTGCAAATGACTGAAGTATTCTGTATCTTCAGTAGCTCACACACTCTATTCATGAAGACATTACCCAACTGATATTCAAAAACTTTTCACAAAATACCAGTAAATCTACCTCTGTCTGTTGTCGCTGGACAGTAAAAGGAAACAAAACTGACAGCCACTTTGAAAAAGAGACACCAAAATCAGTACCTTTCATCTTAAGCCTTGTTACCCAAAGTGAGCTCTTCTGCTGAAAGAGTAGCTATCGCACACGTCGGGTAGCCTCCCCGTGTTCCACGAAACTGTTTTCATGAACAATTAAGGATGATCAACAGGTCACCCCCCTAAGAGAAGCTACTCTTCCCTGTTTTGACTTCTTAGAAATTCCTCCCAGGAAAATTCTTACACTTCTTGCTGCTTTTGGCTTAAGACATACAAACCTTTCTCTAACTTCTTAAACGCTATTAAGCGACAAATGTAGACAGATAAAGGGAGGAGAAGCAGGGAAAGTAAATCTTAGATGCTTTTCATTGCTGCATGTTTGACATCTGGAGAAGGCAAGAATTTAGGGTGCAAATGAGGTGGATAGTATATTCCCTGTACTGAATATTTCTACTGAAACAAATAGAACTAAGACATTTGCTTAAACTTCACACACTGTCTCCAGGACTTTTTTTTCTTAGCGCAGAGTTGTCAAGACAACCCACTGCTACCCCAGCCTTCCAAAGCGCCCCGAGGATGAAGATCAAAGATTCCTCCACTGTCCTGGTATAAATACAGGAAGACATTCCGTCAGGAAGCAGTAAAGACAAAAGTCTTTTTATTTCCTCACCTCATGTGCTGGCATGCAGGAAAGTATTTCACTTCTCTTCAAACAGACTGGAATTAGTACTGGGAAAACAGGTAAGGAAAAGTAAACCTAGTTTTGAACAATTTCGTGCAACTCCTGTAATATATGCGATATAAAGCTCTATTGGTATCAAATTGGTATAGGCTTACATAAAGCAATTCTGATTTTACGTTCTAACCCAGCAAATCAGACAGTAAGATACTTCAGTACAAGGAAGTGAGAGACATATTTACTGGAGAAACTAGAACCGCGGCAGCCAAGTCTTTGACTGCATTCCCGACGTAGTCTTGTTGCACAGGTACTGTCTTCTCTCCCCTGCTTTTATCTATCTTATTTGGTGCTTTAACCTTTTTTCAGTTAAGCAAGCAACAGGAAGCTTCTCCACTTCTCCACATAACTCTGAAGTTATGCCTATGTAAGAATTAAAAGAATACTGCCTCAAGTTGAGCACAAAAATGCCCTGTGATTATGAAACTTGCAATAAACCAAGATTTCTTCTTTTAAAACAAAGAAAGGATACGGTATTCAAGCATTTCTGAGTTCTGCGCATCTCACAAAGATGTATTTACATCTATTTTTCGTAATAAATTTATCAGATCTCAGACCTAGTCCAGAGAAAGGCATATGAAATGGATTCAACCATGGGCACCATAAGCATCACCAAAAAATCCTCCACCTGCAATACTTAAATGTCCCAAAGTTCTGATTTTGGACAGACAAAAACTGCTAAAGCCCCCTGTGAAGAAACAGACAGGTACTTGAATTTTTAACTTCTGAATTACACTGACAATAGGTGATTAAGATAACTTTACATGACTTTATTTAACAAAACCATATATTTACAGTTGAAAAAAGTTCCGGTTTGATAAACATATCTAAACAGAACAAACTTGGTAACTACATAAAACCAATTTAAACATGAGGTACAGGGGATGTATCGACAGTTCTCTATATGTCAACCTACTTTTTAAAACATTCAAAAATAAGCTGTAACAAGGTACCTTTTTTCCCAAATGAAATTGTTTACTAAATGAAAGAACGTTAATGACTGATTGCTGATCGAAGTTGCAAAACGGCTTTATTATAAAGTGCAGGTCGTACAGAATTCCAAACCTGGTTGAAGTTTTCTGGTTTCTCTAATCTGCTGCATGTACAGTGGTAGTTGCAGTCTTCTGATGTATTGCAGCATTTTTATTTTTCCTTAAACCCACAAAGAAAAGGAAGTTTGCTGGATAGGGACACTTGCTTAATGAAAGAAAATCTCACACATCATGTTACAGATACTCTCAAGCACCTGAACAATAAAATGGTCAAATTTTTTTTATGCAATCCCTGAATTTATTACAGAAATCTTCCTTAATAGCTAATTAAGAGATTTGGTATGCTGCAAGAAACTTAAAAAGCTCAGTGGCAAGTAATTCTATGCCCGTACTACTCATCTCTGTTTTTAGCAAAATTCAGGCGTTACCTTCAAATCAAGTTACTGAGAAGTTGAAACAATTGCATCTTTAGGCAGGTGATTTTTTTTAAAATGTATTTTGTTTGAAAACAAACTGTGCAAAGCTCCTTATTGCATTGCTTTTCATTAAAGAACACACCTTATATACACAAAGAAATCAGTTAGAAAATATATACATCTTCTAAGAACAGAAAGATCAAATCACAGAACAAAATAATTACGTTTGCAAGTAACAAACAGTGCACGTGTATTGCAGCAGGCCTTTTTCCCACAACTGTGCCCATTTTCACTGTTACATTCAACATCTTATTCAGAAGAGAAAAAGGAGAACAGGCTGTTGATGGCTGCAAAGATACCTAGTGGCTAAAGAATGCATTTTAACCAGACAAATGAGCCACGCTTGTAGACTTGGTTTAAAAGGAAATACAAATCTAGTTGCAATGAAGACTTAAATCACACAGCCAGTTACAGTACCACCTAAAAATGAATACCGAGGAAAAAGTTGTCTCTGTGTTTAATAAACCATTTCAAAGCATAGTGCAAATGTTTCAGATGGTAGGCCTCTCATATCCTTCACGGAAAGGCATATTTGTTGTAGTAATAGAAAAAGTAATATCAAAAAACACTTACTGACCTTCCAGCTTTCTATTGCACTTCAAAGCAACGTAGCATGCAAGTACTGGTCACTGAAGGACCAAAGCAATGCAAATTCTGGGAGAATTAACATGTGTTTCATATCAACATCTTGATGTCTATTTTCAGCAAGTGATGACCTAGAAGAAGTCTTATGGAGGAATTAAGATGGCCAACAAAAAACCACATCCATTACGCCAGGTACACAAAGTGGACAGGAAGAGAGGCCAATGAGGTATCAGACTTGCAAGCTGCATTTGCATTACACATCTTCCAAAGTGATTATGAGTCCTC